ACATCCCTGCCCCACTCTACATCCCCCTCTATGTCCCTGTCCCTCAGCACATCCCCTGCCTGCATCCCTGCCCTCCATCCCTTCCCCCATGCATCCTTGTCCCCCAGCACACTCGCTGCCCTGACTCTGCCCTTGTCCCCACAGCCGTGAAGTTCAAGGGCAAGAACGTGCCGAAGGAGGCGGTGAAGGGGCCGGAGGTGTGCACAGACCCCACCATGCTCGCCACCCATGCCATGGGGGTCAACTACTTCAAGGAGGGGCCGGAGGTGGCCCTGAAGCCTGACTCCGAGTACCCTGACTGGTGCGTGCTGCCCCGCGCCCCTCGGGGCCCTGCTGAGGTGCCAGAGCTGTGCAGGAGGGACAGGGAGGTGCTCTGGGAGGGGGCACAGTGCCCCTCTGCAGCCCTCCTTCCCCAGGGCCAGGGGAGGGGAGTGAGGGATCTGAACATGCTCATCAGTCACCTCCATCTCTCTGTCCCCTGCTTGTCCCTTGGCCCTCCTTCCTGCAGCTCATGTCCTCTGCATTCACCCCCAGGCTCTTTAAGATCCACCTGGGCCCCCCCAAGAAGCTGGAGGAGCTGGACCCCGACTCGCTCGAGTACTGGCGGCGCCTGCGGAAGTACAACACGTGGCAGCTCAACAAGTTGAAGAAGGGCAAGAAGCTATAGGTGCTGCCAAAACCCCACTGGGACTCACTCCCACTTTTAGTCTCTTCTCCTTGCTGTAAACAAGAAATAAACCTCTGGTGATGCTGATACTTTTTACAAAGGCTGTGGCAAGCCCTGGCCCTTGGTGAGCTTGGTGTGGGTCCCTCTCCTGCCAGGGGCTGAGGCAGCACAGGCCGTGGATTCTCGGTGTGTTTGCTGGGTTTGACTCACAGAGGGAGCCCACACCACATGTGGGTCCTGCTCCCTTGTCCTGGTTTTAGCCAGGATGGGGTTCATTTTCTCAGTAGCTAGTGTAGTGCAGTGTTTTGAATTCAGAAGCTAAAACCAGGACATCCCTGCTCTGTCCCTGTCCTGCAGGGGTTGGGTCTGAGGGCTCTGTGGGAGTGTGAAGTGGGGAATAATGTCTCCTGCATCACCTGGTCCCTGCCCAGGGGCTGAGCAGCCTGTGCTTCCAGGAGTACGAGGACAGGGACCAGGCTCTGGTGGTGCTGTGGTGAGTTGAGGGGAGACACAGTGTCCCTCTGCAGTGCACTCCATGCTGTGCTCTCGCTTCCTCGCGCAGCAGTGGGAGCAGTGGTGCTGGGATGCCAGGGCTTAGCTGAGCTGGGTGCTGGAGGCAGAGTCTTCCCCGCAGCAACGTGGGCCTCGCTTGCCCTGTCCCCACCTGTCCTCACCTGGCTCCAGCCTGGCAGAGCCCAGGAGCTCCCCTGGCCTCAGTCCTGCCCGTGCCTTGGGCTCACCTGGCTGAGGTGCCCCATCACCTTGGTTCACCTCCACCCTGGACTTGCTGCCCAGGAAAAGAGTTACCCACGAGGTCCCTCCGCGGTGAGGAAGGGGCAGTGGAGCCCCTGCCCAGCCTGGCAGTGTCCCCAGTGTCCCTGGTGCCCTGTGACAGGGCTGGGGGCCCACCGGTCCCCGTCCGCCGGGGGCTGCAGGTGTGGGGTGGCAGCTGCTCGCCCACGCAACAGGAAGGAAGGAGGAGGGAAGCAGAAGTGCTGCAGCGCCGGGGGCTGGGGGAGATTCTGGGCTGAACCCTCATTTCCTCTGCTGGGACTTGGCGAGCACCCTCGGAGCTGTACCCTGTGGTGAGTGCCTGTCCTGCAGCTTGGCCTCCCCCAGCTCGTCCAACCCCCAAATCCTGCAGCAGGTGAGCAGAGGGAGCACCCGGGACCGTGAGCTCCATCTCACAGCTCCTGCTCGGTGAGTGTGCCCAGCTGCCCTGGGTGGGCCCAGTCCTGGGCACAGGTGCCTTGGGTGGGTTGGTGGGGTGAGACCTGAGGGGGGAGAAAGGAGCTTGTCCCTGGCCTCTGCCCCTGTCCAGGTGATTGATGCCACGCTCCCCTTGCTGCCAAAACCTTTCCCTGGGTTCGGGGCAAGCTGAGCTGGGTCT